AAGAGGACGCTCGTCTCGAAGAGTCTTGAACAGTGCTTTCAGGAGTGAAGAGGTTCTCTTGGCTCCGAAGCGAAAACATACTGCGGTTGCGTTCACTTCCTCCTTTTATACTCACGGAGTAGGGCGGAGTACGCTATGCAAAATTCCGCAGCCCCAAGGCATTGCATGCCATTGGCTCGTGTTTTAATACTCGAAGAGGATTGGCTTTCTATGCGAAACCCCCAATCTCCGTCACTTCTGACGTAACTCGAAGTGACTACGATAGGGAACACACATTATCTAGGAAAGAAGAGAACGGAAAAACTTCTTCAGTTCTTGTGTTTCTGCTCTTCTCTTTTTCTGTTCTCTTCTTTCCTTCAGTGATTCTGCTTGTTAACAGGCTTATTAAGGCTGAGATGACTCCATATTTAATATGCACAGATTTTGTGGCTCAGATAAGGTCCAGTTCTCAAGTCAAGAGGAATATCTTCCCACATTTTGGGATACAATATCCACAATGTCCTGAACTACTCTCTGTGTTTTTTTGTTCTCTGATCACCCTGTTTTGCTGTTGCCTGACCCTTGCCTGTTTTGACGTTCCTTCATTAAAAGCTGCAAATGGATCCTACTGAGTCTTCCAATTCATAACAAGTATTCAGAAATAGTACTACAGAGACTGAATAATGTAATGAAATGTAAAATAAAACTGGGTAGTAGTCCTGAGAACTAAATTACGTATATACCTAGGATATTAATCCTGATTCCTTAAAATGAAAGGAATCTATGTTTAGTTGTTTGGAGTCCGATTAATAACGCTGGACCAAATACACTACAACAACAGCCGCGGGTAATTCGCCAGTACGGTAAACGTTTCTATGGTAACAGCGAGTTGGACCAATCAGCAGACCTTGCTGCAATGCTTAGGATTGCGGGTAGTGTAGTGTTTTTTTTTCCCCATAAGATCGTGGATAAAACATGTTTTTCTTTAAACAAGGTTGATTTCATACGAACTTATTGCTTCAACAGGAGCAAAAACCTTCGTTTCACAACCTCAAAGTACGTGGTCAGTCTACCTCGAATGGTTTAGACATAGACCTTATTCAGAGCAGCGCCATGACAGGTATGAAAGTGAGGCTGTGAGGGATAGACTCGTGTTTCCAATGGCATCCGCTGTAAAAAGCTGAATAAAGCGGCTAGATTACTTACAATTTTCCACAGCTTACATTGTCGGGAGTTTTTTGTCAACTGACATTTCTTAGAAAGATATTTTTCCAGTGTTTCATGAGCAGAACAATCCGAAAACACATTAAATAACAGTACAGCCCATTGAAGAGATGCAAGTCTATCCCTCACAGCCTCGCTTTCATTCTCATGAAAAATCAAAGATGGCGCTGCCGTGAATAAGGCGTATTAGGGCTGATAATCTAAATCCTTATCGAGAAATACTGTTGACCGGAAGTTCTGTATCCCTACTCCGCGTTCCAGAAGGCCTATAACAGCTGGAGTAGACTACAATGTCTCATAACATTACATTTACCTCAGGAAAGCCATTTAATGACCATAGCACACAAGTTAGCTAGAAAATTAGTATTTTATAATATTTAGTATTAGTATAAATTAGTATTTTGCTAAATATATGAACTAATATATTATATATTTTTACCATTAAAATATTATAAAGTTGTTGTAATAAAAAACGCATTAGGCCTATATTTAATTTGAGCTGTTATTTTTAACCTTTAATAAAATCAGCTGACAGGGCTCTCTGTAGTTATGTTTACAGCATTAGGGGAGATTTTCTTTCTTGAGAAATATTAACATCTGCTGCAGCCTATAAATATATATCCAAATTGAATCAAGATCGGACTAAAACCACAAGAATTAAACTGAAATTGTAAAATCCCCATCCCCCCACCACACACACACACACACACACACACACACACACACACACACACACTTTAGTGTTAGTGCTTGATTGGGCGTTATACACAGAAACAACAGCGAGAAACATATGTGTCACAAGCCCTGACCTGCAGAGGAGAGGATTCCTTCACTGTAGTTTCAGATGAGTGACTTTACATGATCATTTTTGTGTCCGGATTATTGGAGAAATGTGGTGTTTGTTTCCCGCGCTCACATGATGACTGTTGGAGTGTCTCAGCTCACTCTCCCTCTCTCTCACTGACGAGCGACCTCTACTGGAGCTGTGGCGCGCTTACACTCATACTCTCCTCAGAGGCGATATGGCCCTGAGATTTTGAAATAATATCGAATAATCGCATTAAATTATAAAGAGTTGAATAACTAACGCGCATGTTCAGGGTTCTCTGATGTCGGTTAATGGTCACGTCATGTACGTGCATGTTTTTTATTATTATATTTTAATTGTATTCATATATATTTGTAGAACATTAACAGAAAGTCATTAATAAAGTTAAAAACGGGACTGAGCTTAGATTCAATCATGTTTATCATTAATTAACAACTAAACTTAAGAGTTTACCACAACATTCATGACGTGCATTTATAGAACTAAAATATTAAATTTATATCAGGAAGTGTTTCATTTAGGCTATACATTGTTTATGACTTAATAAGTTAATACTTGTCGGCCTACTCATGAACCCCATCAGTGAGGCGACCACTGCAACCCTGGATTCTTTTACAATTTGTTGTACAATTTGTCCTTAAATTATTAAAGGGATCGACTTCTTAAGCTTTTGAACTTTAAAACAACTGTTTTAATGGATTTCTGATTTATGTCGCCCGGAAAATCAATTAAACAGAGGTGATGTAGTTATGACTTCTACCAGCAGGCAGGGGCTTCATAGGTCTTTTTAAAATAATTATAGGCTAACTATCACTTTTGTTCGATTTGCTAACTCAAGTGAAGTTCTGCTACAAGATGGCGGCACCCGACCGGCTAACTTCCGGTCGATGGATTACCCCCTTGCGTGCAAAGACTAAGTCAAACGACATTAATTTATTAATTTTGTATTAATTTTGTTAAAAATAAATAAATAAAAGATAAAACAACGATGTTGGACGATTTTGAACATGAGACGGGTTTTTTACCTTTCTTAACCAGAACACGTGATCTTTCTGATTACGTAGTGTGTCGCATCACAGCTAGTGCAAGACCAGCATTTGTGGTTAAAGTATATACATTTTAATTTTCTTAATAAAATCGCGGATGGTTTGTCTACAGTAGATAAGACTCTTATTCCTCGGCTAGATCATGTAAATAGTACGCTCAGGTAGTAGGGAAATCCCCCGACTGCCATGGCAAGTGAACACTGGACCCTGTTTCTTTGACAGGTTTCAATCTGTTTTGAATTTAAGATTTTATGTTTATTTGTAATCAATTCTAATTCATAAAATTATCTATTATTATTATTAATAATTATTACTCATGATATTTCCTGTTATGGTGCGATGTAAGCAATCCACACTTCAAATGAGCCCTTAGTGGCTCTGTGAGTGCAAATGCTGAAATTCTGCTCCCCAATAGGCCCAGCAGTGCAATATTACATTTCTTTAAAACTCACTAAAACATCATTTTTTAACAACATCATCTGACAGGTGAAAATTTATTTTCTTCTTTCCCTATATTTAGGTCATACTGGGTTAAAAGAAGATATTTAGTCATGCTGTATGTTTAGATCAGCTCCAGTTTCTCTGTTGCATAGGGATGATGAGTTATTGAATCCTCCCAGGGTTTATGAATAACCCTTATCAAATGTTTCATCAAGTTAAAAATAATATCTCAATGAGCTACTTTTATTTGAGTCATATAACGTGGTTTGATGTAATAACATATATGACTCACTTCTTTCTTTTGAAGTGTCTACAGATGTAAACCAAGATTCCCACCATCCTCACTGATATATATCAGGCACAGCGTTATGGGTCATCAGGTCCACCCAAAAAATTTTTTTTATATATATATATTTTAATTTTGTCAAGAATTATTAAAAAATGGCAAATAAGCTCATAATTTGTGCTAAAATAATCAAAATGTTTCATTTTCTCAGTTTCATAGCTTAAGTCATCCTCCCTAAACGAAGCATTTATTTAATCAAGCTCTAAACACATCTCGTTGTGGATCCTATGACGTCGGCCTCAGCGTTAAAACACAAACCCCAGCCAACAACCGATGGTGATGATGATGCATGTCCCTCAACTAGGCATGTGATCAGCGTCAAACAAACAAAAAATTCAATACGACATATTTAATAATAAATAAATATTTGATCCAATTACTTATATTATAAATTTAAATCAATAGAGAAATATTACTATTATAATAATGCTGTTGTGCTGTAAAATAAACAGCATTATTACAGTAGAATTACAATAGTATACTAAAATTTACGGCTGTCTCAATTTCTCTGTTTTCAAACATTAGAGCTTCTATTTTGGTGGAAAACAACTGAGAGAACTTAAAGATTATTAGTTGATAAAAAATGTTATAAACAATTCTCATAAATTCGATAAGATGGTTGGCACATTTTCCAAAAGGTTTACGCATTAGACGTACTGCAAAAATTAGATTTAATACTCTCAGGATGCTAAAAATCACACGTGCAGCTGCATCTGAATGGATCCAAAAAGGAGAAAAGTGCTTGTTGACATCTACCCGTTCACCAGCTGAACCTTGACCTCCTGCTGAACTATTTACCTGTTCACCAGCTGAACCTTGACCTCCTGCTTAACGATTTACCTGTTCACCAACTGAACCTTGACCTCCCGCTGAACGATTTACCAGTTCACCAGCTAAACCTTGACCTCCTGCTGAACGATTTACCTGTTCCCCAGCTTAACCTTGACCACCAGCTGAACGATTTTCCTGTTCACCAACTGAACCTTGACCTCCCGCTGAACGATTTACCAGTTCACCAGCTGAACCTTGACCTCCCGCTGAACGATTTACCTGTTCACCAGCTGAACCTTGACCACCAGCTGAACGTTATTGACCATTAGGTTATTTAGGCAGGTTTGTTGAAGTGTACAGCCTCTGTTTGCTTTTGTCCATTTTATTTTGGTTAAAAAACATTTCTTATCTTTTTTACATGAAACACTCTCAGAGAGCGAGAAAGACCGAAAGAGACAGAGTGAGAAAAGACCGAAAGAGGAGACAGTGTCATCAGATCATCTACATATTCTTTAAGACTTTTTTCAACCATAAACTCATAAGTGAAAGAGAAGCATGTCCAGAGACGTCGCGTCTCTCAGTTCGTATTTACAGGAAGTTTTGCGAGCACCCGTCGCTCGGTTGAACATCATCAAATCCTTGATCAACCTACTTAATCACAGGAAAGGGGGCGGAGCTTTGAATCAACATCCTCGAACCCCGGCAAAGTGTTTGGTCGGGTCAACACCGAAGCAGACGATTGGTTGGCAGTTCGTTTGAGTTCTTTTGTCCGCCACGCTGCTGAGAAACAATAGTCTGGTTGACGTGACTCGTAACCCTTGACCTCTACGTCGTTGAGAGCGTGACCCCCGACTCTAGCCGCTCCCCAAGAGTGTAAGTGTGTGATTTTTTTTTGGCATGTATAAGAGCTGCGGTCTCTGGTGTAAGTGATATCACATTCTGATAAAGGTCTGACACTCATACACCACACCACCCTGAACGAAAGAGATCCTGCCGAGAAACCAGCTTAATCCGGCCTGAGCTGGTTTTCAGATGGTCTTCCACCCAAAACGAGCACACAAACCAGCTCGGCTACGGGTGCGTTTCCCAAAAAGCATCGCTGCCCAAATATAATCGCAATTTCCATTGAACTTTATTGATAACGATGGAACTTAGCCACATAGGTGGCTTTGGTAAACGCACCCCAGGACGGGAGACTGGATAACCACCTCAGACTGGTTTAAACTGGGTTTCTCAGCAGGGAGGAGATGGAGGATGCACGAATGGAGGAAAAACTACCCGATAAGAAGACCACTTCTTAGAAAGGACAGACTGATGTGCTTGAATGGCAGTGAGATGGGCAGGGTGGGTGTGCGGGCGACCAGGAAACAGAGACGTGGAGGAGGAAGCCAATCATCTTCATCATCATCATCATCATCATGTAAACAGGGATCTTTCCAAGGCTTGTCCAAGGATTTGAGGACAAGCCATAATTGTTTACCGTTTTCTGCAAGCAGCTTCATACTGATTCAGGAATCTCAACGAAAACATATCTGGATCATATTTCACAACGGAAGTCTTTCTTAGGAGTTTTGGAGTGAGGTACGAGCCGGACATGAGGTTTCCTTGGGATTCGCCCTGATACTAATCGTGATGATGATGGTGATGTCGAAGTCATCCCCCCTCATTGTCCTCCTCCAGATCTGCGTGTCCTGGTCACCAGCGCCCTAGTCACAGACTGGTCACCAGTTGCATTTGTCCGTCGCCGTCCCCCTGCGAGGGCTGGAGTCCCAGTCGAGGCTCGTCGTTGGTCCTTCGAGGCGGAGGCTGGTAGAAGGCGGAGATGTGCGCTTGACGTCCCGCGCTGAAGTACAGCTCATCCGGCGGGAGTGTGGGATGAGGCTCCGCCCCCATCGCCTCCGGACTGCTGTCGGGATAGGACGAATCGCGGTCCCGCGCGTACAGGGAGGCGGAGTCAGGTCCGGCCCCACCCACGTCGTCTGTGATCTCCGCTGAGAAGCTCTCCGAGTCCTCCTCGCTTTGGTAGAACACTGACTGAGCGTGCTCAAGGAGGCGGGGCTTATCCGGAAGGCGGGGTTTATCAGGGAGACGGGGTTTATCCGGGAGGCGTGGCTTTTCCAGGGCTTTGTACAGCAGCTCGTCTTCATCCTGCGGGGGTGGCGGAGGTGGGCGGGGTAAGGGCCGTTGCGGAGGCTCCCGGTGACCTGTCGACGTGGCGTAATTCGACATTGTCGAAGTCGTTCCATTGCCGTATCGATCGGTGGAAGGGCGCAGGTTACTCTGCACCAGCTCGGATATTATCATCTTCTCCAACGCCGCCGCGTCCGAAAGATTCCGCCTCAAACCGGTTGAAGGCTCCGCCCCTCTGGGTGTCAAAAGGGCAGGGCTGACTTCTCCAGACACGCCCCCTGACCCCACGGGAACACCCCCTAGAAGATCCGAGCTCCCTCCGTGCAGCGAGTAGCTGTTGTTGTAGTTCCCGTTCAGTCGGACTCCCTCCAGACCACATGACTCGCGGCTGCGAGAAAGGGTGCCCTCTACAGGACAGAGAGTAGAGAGTTTAGTTTGAACTTTCTTCCTTCCCTTGCTTCAAAATAACTCACGATTTCAAGCATAAACCCTTTAATTCAGATCAAAATATCTTTGGCGACCTCTTGTGGAAAATAAACAATATAACGTGATATTTCACGACTCTAGATGGTCTTGTAGCTCTATATGGTAGTCAGTTTCTTTACAGTATAAATTGAAATACACATGTAGACATTATAAAATATTTTTTTGGTCAAGTTTTCGCATTTTTAGGTTTTTCTATGTGAACTGAAGGCATTCCATTAATTCCTAAAGGGGTCAATTTGACGCGCAAGGGACGGATTTTTTTGTGTGTATTCGTGGTTCAAGTGCGACAAAAGTCCAGTTCTGTTGAACACTCAATTTCTTAAAAACAAATACAAAAATGAGTTTCCTCAAGGGAATGATGAGGGTTACGGTAGTTTTTTCAGGATGTGACCCCATTTAGTGAATACTGCATTGATATGTAATTGAGAGTGAATGAGTGAGCGGTTTCAGGCCTATGAATGCGTAAATACAGAGATGCATACAATGCTGGTTCTCTCATGCACATAGCAAAATTTCCCCAATAACACCTACTCTTTTATGTCTCTCGACCGTGTGCTAACACTGAGAAATAAGGAGAGCTGTGTAATTATTTTCTCATCTTCACGTCATTGCAAGTCAGCGGTTAGACATTATTAAACGGAGGTATTTCTCAGTCCCACAGTTCTGCTTAACTTTACGTTCGCTCTGTTATTCATGCTAATACAGCGTCACTGTAGGAACAGACATCTAAAACACTGGGAAATCTGATGTCTGAGTGTGACGTAAATGAGGGACTAGTGTTTGTAAATGATTTCTGGCGTGCTTGATGTGAGTGCATTATATATTAGTGAGGTGAAGATGAAGGAGAAGCGTGGAAATGACAGAAACACACACAGACAGAGAGAGAACGCGTGTCTCATACTTGAGTTTCTGAACGTGCCTGTAGATCGGTTCATAAAAAGAGTAAGACAGGAAGAAAGGAGAAACAAGTGAATACAGATACACACATTTAGAGAAAACACACAACATGTTTTTAATCACACACACACTGACCAGTGGCGTTGAAAACTGCAGGTGAGGGCGGGTTGAACGTTTCAGCCAATAAGGTGTTGTAAGGGGAGGAGCCAGAGCGGGTCTGAAGCATAGGATTGGCTAGGAGGTGATTACCCATAGTGCCTGTGGAGAAACAGCATGGTCCTTACAGAGAGTTCAGCTGTGCCGTTTGTGTGTGAGTTTCAGGAGAAAAATATTAAAAATCTTGCTTGTGCCGAGAAAAAAATGTGTAAAAGACTAATGGAGCTCAACAGAGGGTGCCGTTTTTATTCTTATTTATATTATACGTTTTTATTACTAATATTTTTTATTTGTTATTACTAAAAATTATTTAATATTTTTAATTTAAAAAAAGATATATATTTTTCCATGTAAAAGAGACTAAATAACAATGGAGTTCAACAAAGAGAGCAGTTTTTATTAATATTTTTTATATACATTTTTATTACTAATATTTTTTTTACATTTTCCAAATATTATTAAATGTAATTGTAAAGATTCTATCAAAGTATTTCTTATTTGTTATTACTAATTTTAAAATATATTTTCAAATCTATACATAGGCGTGACAATTTTTTTTTAAATACATAAAATATATATCTTTCTCATTCATATATATGTACATATATATATATATATATATATATATATATATATATATATATATATATCTTTTTTTAATAAATTTTTATCTTTATAATGTACAGGTAAAATATTTACTCAGTTTTTTAATACGAATATTTTACTATTTGTTATTATTATAAAATTTAGATTTTTTTTAAACAAATTCATTCATTTTTAAATAATTTATTAAGTATTAAATGTATTTTTCCATTAACATTTAAATTTCAACAAAAGCACGACTTTGGATAAGAGCGTGTGTGTTTGGATGTCTACAGTGTGTGTGTGTATTTCACCTCGGGTGAGTGTGGGTGTGTTGTTGATCTCAGCTGCCATGAAGGACGATTCTGTCTGCCGTCGAACAGTGTCATTCCACATCCTCCTGATACGACTCTGAACACACACACACACACACACACACCGGTGAGAATTAAGCCACATGGTGAGTAAACTCCTGATATTTCAGACGGTGTAACATCTCACAGACACACACACGTACCTGTCTTTGAGCAGGCGCGTGTCGTGATTGGCTGCCGCCGTAGTAACGATTGTTGCCTCGGTGGGCGGAGCTCTTGAGGGAACCATGGGAACCGGTGGAGGAGGCGTGGCCACAGCAGGGTGATTGACGCAAGCATTTGCCGTACTCTTTCTGCACCTGTTAAACACACAACCCTGTGTGAGAAACCAGGTTAGGAGGCCAAACACACACACACACACACACACACACACCTTCTTCTGCAGGGCGCAGTGCAGGAGGAAGATGAACATGCCGTGTAGAGCGTTGAAGGAGGTGAAGAGATACGCCATCACTACACTGTTGTCATTGATGAACAAGAGGCCGAAGATCCACGTCAGAGACACCAATAACAGCAGCGTCACAGAACTGACCGTCCAGCACCTGCACACACACACACACACACACACACACACACACACACACACCGTTACTAACGCTTTCATGATGCCGTCCACCCAAAGTTGCTATCAGTACATAAAAATAAATATACTACAAAAACATGGCAACACTTCTCAATAAGGTTTCATCTGCTAACGAACACGTCACAATATTCCTCATTTAAATAATTAATGCGCATAATAAAGGGGCGGGGCCTGTTTGAGTTCATTTCGATTCCTCTTATTGATTCCTTTGTGAGCATTTCAATATGAGTTTAAACCATTCAAGCATTTTATGTTCATGTGTGACAGGACACTGGATCTGGTCACACGATACTTTCGCTCCACTGTCCTTCACGAGGTCCGGGTTCAGGACACCACCTCAACATCTGAGCCTGCCTCACTACTCTCCATTTAAGTGTGTGTGATCACTTTAACAGCAGGGACACGTGACTCTTACTTGATGTTGTCGAAGCGGCTGGAGTCCGGTTTCAGTACGGTGGAGTGACGCAGCATCCGGTGCACAGTGATGACCAGCACCACCAGGTTCAGCTAAACACAAGAGGTCAAAGGTCAGACCAGGTATTAACAGAGCCGAAGATACTCATTTCAGAGCCAGTGCATTAAAACGAGTCTCACCAGGATAACGAGGGAGGCGGGGCCGATAAACGTCCAGATGAAGTAGTTATCCACCCTCAACCAGCAGCTACAAACACACAGAACATTTATTACACACACACACACACACACACACGGATGTCATCAGCACGTGCTGAGGGAAACACACTCACGCTTTGGGTCCTCCGTAGCTCCTGTAGTCGATGGCGGTGGAAATGGCCACCACTAGCGAGGGGAAGCCGTACGCGGAGAGGTAGTAGTACTTGCGCCGAGACGTCTCGCTCTCGAACACCTCCACCATCAGCACATACAGCTGAACCGTCTCCATGCAGAGCCAGCAGAACACCGACAGCAGGAAGAAGTGCAGCAGGCCCGCCAGGACCGGGCACACAACCTATACACACACACACACACACCTGATGCGTGAGCTGATGAGGTCTGGTTTAGTCTGATGAGGTCTGGTTTAGTCTGAAGAGGTCTGGTTTAGTCTGATACTGTCCTGTTTGCACTGATGAGGTCTGATTTAGACTGTACTGGTTTAGCCTAATCTGGGGTCGGGTTTAGTCTGATGAGGTCTGGTTTAGTCTCATGAGGTCTGGTTTAGTCTGATGAGGTCTGGTTTAGTCTGACGAGGTCTACTTTAGTCTGATGAGGTCTGGTTTAGTCTGATACAGTCCTGTTTGGACTCATGAGGTCTGATTTAGACTGTACTGATTTAGTCTAATCTGGTCTGATATGGTCCGATTTTGTCTAATGTGGTCTGGTTTAGTCTGATGAGGTCTGGTTTAGTCTGATACAGTCCTGTTTGCACTAATGAGGTCTGGATTTGTCTGATGAGGTCTGTTTAGTCTGAAGAGGTCTAGTTTAGTCTGATACTGTCTTGTTTGCACTAATGAGGTCGGGTTTAGTCTGATGAGGTCTGGTTTAGTCTGATACAGTCCTGTTTGGACTGATGAGGTCTGATTTAGACTGTACTGCTTTAGTCTAATCTGGTCTGATATGGTCCGATTTTGTCTAATGTGGTCTGGTTTGCTCAGAGGTGTTCTGGTAGAATCTGGTTTGCATTGAGGTTGGTCTGATATTGTAAAATTTAGTCTAGTTTGTTCAGATTTGGTCTGGTTTAATCCGATGTGGTCTAACATGGTTTTACTGTCTAATGTGGTCTGGTTTTGTCCATCGTGGTCTGATATTGTCTAATGTGGTCTGGTTCAGTCTGATACTATTTAGACTAATGTAGTCTGATATGGTCTGATTTTGTCTAATGTAGTCTTACATGGTCCAATTTTGTCTAATGTGGTCTGGTTTAGTCTGATGAGGTCTGGTTTAGTCTGATACAGTCCTGTTTGCACTAATGAGGTCTGGTTTAGTCTGATGAGGTCTGGTTTAGTCTGAAGAGGTCTAGTTTAGTCTGATACTGTCTTGTTTGCACTAATGAGGTCGGGTTTAGTCTGATGAGGTCTGGTTTAGTCTCATGAGGTCTGGTTTAGTCTGATGAGGTCTGGTTTAGTCTGACGAGGTCTACTTTAGTCTGATGAGGTCTGGTTTAGTCTGATACAGTCCTGTTTGGACTGATGAGGTCTGATTTAGACTGTACTGATTTAGTCTAATCTGGTCTGATATGGTCCGATTTTGTCTAATGTGGTCTGGTTTAGTCTGATGAGGTCTGGTTTAGTCTGATACAGTCCTGTTTTCAGACTAAACCAGACCTCATCAGACTAAACCAGACCTCATTAGTGCAGAGGTCTAGTTTAGTCTGATACCGTCTTGTTTGCACTAATGAGGTCGGGTTTAGTCTGATGAGGTCTGGTTTAGTCTCATGAGGTCTGGTTTAGTCTGATGAGGTCTGGTTTAGTCTGACGAGGTCTACTTTAGTCTGATGAGGTCTGATACAGTCCTGTTTGGACTGATGAGGTCTGATTTAGACTGTACTGATTTAGTCTAATCTGGTTTGATATGGTCCGATTTTGTCTAATGTGGTCTGGTTTGCTCAGAGGTGTTCTGGTAGAATCTGGTTTGCATTGAGGTGTTCTGGTTTACCATGTACAATTTGATTTGGTCTGATATGGTAAAATTTAGTCTAGTTTGTTCAGATTTGGTCTGGTTTAATCCGATGTGGTCTAACATGGTTTTACTGTCTAATGTGGTCTGGTTTTGTCCATCGTGGTCTGATATTGTCTAATGTGGTCTGGTTCAGTCTAATACTATTTAGACTAATGTAGTCTGATATGGTCTGATTTTGTCTAATGTAGTCTTATATGGTCCAATTTTGTCTAATGTGGTCTGGTTTAGTCTGACGTGGTCTGATATTGTCTGATATCTGACACAGTTTAGTCTGATGTGGTCTCAGGTGGTCAGATTTTGTATAATGTGGTCTGGTTTAGTCTGATATGGTCTGATGTAGTCTGATGTGTTTTGGTTTAGTCTGATGTGTTCGGAGAAGGTGAACTCACGGTGTAGTGTGTCTTGTCCATGCCGATGAGGAAGAGCAGCTGTGAGATGAAGAGCGTGAGGCAGAGGTTCTTGTGGATGGTGGTGCGGTCGCTCTGAAGACCCCTGAGGCAGCAGAAGGTGGAAATGCAGAGAGCCAGACACACCAGAGAGATCACCATCCCCACCCATGTGATGACGAAGAGGATCAGGCCCTGAACGCCTCCGGGATACTGGGAGAACAGCAGAGCAAGAGCGACACAAATATAAACAAAAATGTGAAAATATATACAAATGAATGAATGATATCAACAGAAACAACAAAATAAAGTCTTATCCCGTTTAGCCTGATACGTTCTGGTTTAGTCTGATGTGGTCTAAGGTGGTCTGAGGTGGTCTGGTTTAGTCTGATGTAGTCTGACATGTTCTGGTTTAGTCTGATGTGATCTGATATGGTCTAGTATGGTCTGATATGGTTGGTTTAGTCTGATACAGTTTAGTCTGATGTGGTCTAAGTTGGTCTGAGGTGGTCTTGTTTTGTCTGATATGGTCTGGTTTAGTCTGATGTAGTCTGACATGTTCTGGTTTAGCCTGAGGTGGTCTGATATGGTCTGGTTTAGTCTGATGTGGTCTAAGGTAGTCTGAAATGGTCTGGTTTAGTCTGGTGTGGTCTGACATGGTCTGGTTTAGTCTGATGTAGTCTGATATGGTCTGGTTTAGTCTGATGTGATCTAAGGTGGTCTGGTTTAGTCTGATGTGGTCTGATATGGTCTGGTTTAATCTGATGTGGTCTGATATGGTCTGGTTTAGTCTGATGTGATCTAAGGTGGTCTGAGGTGTTCTGGTTTAGTCTGATGTGGTCTAAGATGGTCTGATATGGTCTGGTTTAGTCTGATACAGTTTAGTCTGGTGTCGTCTAAGGTGGTCTGATACGGTCTGGTTTAATCTGATGCAGTTTAGTCTGATGTGGTCTAAGGTGGTCTGATATGGTTGGTTTAGTCTGATACAGTTTAGTCTGATGTGGTCTAAGTTGGTCTGATATGGTTGGTTTAGTCTGATATAGTTTAGTCTGATGTGGTCTGATATGGTCTGGTTTAGTCTGATGTGGTCTGAGGTGTTCTGGTTTAGTCTGATGTGGTCTAAGGTAGTCTGAGGTGGTCTGGTTTAGTCTGATGTGGTCTGATGAATAATACATACGATCAAATTAAAACTAAGAACAGCCAGCCCAGAAAACCAAAGCTCAGTAGAGGGCAGAGCAGACGGCACACAATGCCCTACATGTGTGTGTGTGAGACTCACGGCGGGCTGCTGGTGGTTCATGAGCACAGCGAAGTTGGTGAGATGCGAGCAGGCGCAGGTGGTGTGTGTGTTGTTGCTGTGTGTTCGTCTGCAGCCCTGAGACGACCACTGGCCCGTCATCGAGCGCTCAGAGTAATTCCAGAACGAGCAGTTGGGACTGAAGTGGTTCTCCAGCTGACACACACACACACACACACACACAAACGTACAGATTAGGTTCTGAAAATGTTTTTCATTGTAATCCCTAGGGTGATGTGGAGATGATGTGTGTACCTGCAGGTGTCGCAGTGTGAACTCGACCGGTTCGGTCAGGAACACGCGACTCGACTCTTTGTTCATGGATGCGGAGATGATGTGTGAGTTGACGGCCAGACTGTGTCCTCCCGGCTTCGGCTCGCCAACCGTCTTCACCGTGGCGTTCAGAGTCGAGAGAAACGCCCCCAGGTTCTTATAGAGCGTGAAGACCACCTTCACCTGACCTGATGGACACACACACACACACAGTCTCGTGCTTAGATGCGTTCAATACGACTGATTCAACTCACATTTACTCGTAATGCGCTTTTCACAACACACAAGTCGGGTCCACATTACACTTTACAGAGATCTGTTATCAGAGGAGGCTGTGTCTAAGTTATGTATTTCAGAAATATACAAAATCACAGTTAGCGAAAAATACATTCATTTAAACAGTGTGCTAATTGAAGGCAGAAACAACGAGCTCATTAGTAATGAACACTTGTTCGTTAACAAATGATCATGACATTTAGAAGAATGTAGCATTGGTGCTGATCCCACACATTTCTCAAAATAACCCTCGTCATCACACACACACGCGCATGGTGACTGTTGCCATGACGACGCTGAGATCAGAGACTGACCGTTGCGGCTGTACTGTTTGATGGTGGACGAGGACACGTGGATGATGCTGTCGCTGTCATACGAGTTCGGGAACGACAGATCCTTCAGCTCCATCTCTGTGTTCAGCACATACACCTCCAGATCTGAAACACACACACACACACACACACAGATCGGAGTAATGATGCTGATCAATGACACTTTCCTCACAGAGAATTCTAATAATATTTCAGCATTATTATTGTATTTTGATCAACTGTGTGTGTATTTGTGTGTGTGTGAGACGCTCTGCTACCGATGTTGGGCGCGCGGTCGCTGAAGTGTCCGCCGTACAGGTTGTTGGCCAGGAGAAATGCCCCCTTCTCCACGACGTCGAGCATCATGGTGGCGGTGTGAGACTGTTCTGTGGCGTTCATGTCCTGCCACGACTCCAGCGCCTCCAGACGCAGCAGGTTATCCACCGTCTGCACCACCGCCTGCACACACACACACACACACAGGTCATCCATCCACCGCCTGCACACACACACACACATGTTTGAGTAACGTGTCTGCTGTATAATTACCTGAATAAACGCTCGGCAGGTCCGTTCTCTCTTCTGAAGCTGAAAAACACAACAAAACTGTGTTGCTCTGATAGTGTGTGTGTGTGTGCGTGTGTGTGTGTGTGAGTGTGTGAGCACCTTGTTGTAGTTGCGTGTGGCCGACTCCTTGTTCCCCGGTCGTAGCGCCTGTAACTGAGAGTCCAGGATGTCCAACAGCTGCTCCATCAGCCGCACAGAGGAAGTGACATCACCAGCATAGACACGCCCCCGTGTGTGATTGACAAGTACAGCAGCGATATGGGCTGCGTTCTCCCCACTCTTAATCTACAGAGATGAGAGAGAGACATCAGATATCTGTCTATCTATCTGTCCATCGCCTTGACCTCTGACCTCTGACTGACCTTCTGAGCGACCTGGCTGACCCAGGGTGATGTGCAGTTGCTGAGATCGGGGCCTCTGGGGCTCCACACCACTTCATCAGACATACACTGATACGAGGCGATTCCTGAAGAGAAGAACAAAACAGAAATAATCATAAACGGAGCGACTGCAGTGGGGTCATCACTAGGGTTGGGTATCGAGAATCGAGTATCGATTGGAACCGAGACTAACTTTTCGTTTTTCCCGGAATCGTTCAAAAGTTAAAATTTCGATTCCTAGTTTCGATATTCACAATCCGCCGAGCGGAATAAGAAACCGCTGAACAACACCAACGAAGAAGCGTCTACCGGAAGTGTTGGCATAACCACGCGAGTCGAACATGAGTACCTTACGTCGGCGGTCCAAAGTGTGGCTTCACTTTTCTAAAAATAACTAAATCTCGGCAAAATGCAAAATTTGTGACAAAAGGAGTATTTCCTTCAGAAAGACCGTTGGTTAGCAAGGTTAGCTAAACTTTTTTGACCCCGCCTCTTAAAAGAATCAGAATCGAGAATCGGTAGGAACCGGAATCGAAACAAGGAATCGGAATCGGAATCAGAATCATTCAAATTCAAACGATACCCAACCCTACTCATCACCCGCGCGCTAATAAACGAAACATCCCAAACAAAAGAGCTAAACCTTAGAAGAGCCGGTAAGACCTGAAACACACATCAGTGGAAAACGTTTGTCATTTCCCAGCAAGGGTTCATTCAGAGTGTAGAAGTCAACACAAGGACACACACTTATTTGTTTCAAGATTAAAATATGAGGGAAACGTTTTTAATCACTTTTATTGTCATCATCATGTCCCGTTAATGGTCCTGCTGTGTGTCAAATAGAAGTTTAGTAGTCCCTCAATTAAATCTGCATGCATAATAATCATAGTACGATTTGAAAACAGCATTTAGTTTTAAATGAAGTTCATCACATCACTCTGCAGGAGAGTGTAGCTTTAAAGCTAACATTAGCATATGACCTTCAAGTGCCTTGATGTAGTGCGTGTGATCTGCATCAACTCAAAACACCACTTGCCTCTAATAATAATGCCAAATATGCTTTAAAATAGGCTTTTTTAATCGAAATATTGACCTTTTTTTACTTTGGTAAAGGTTTTGGCTCTTGCTGTGATCCACTTGAGCTGCTCGCGGTCAGAAACGAGCGCAGTGGAAGTGAATGAGAGTTTCCTCTAGTGGAAGCGTTCGGTACTGCAGCTACTCATCTACTGAGATATCAAGCTCAAATTTGGAACTTATTTAGATTTATTTACTTTGATTTTCTTGCAGTTTTAGAGTAAAACATATTTTTCAAAATATAGATTTCATATAAAAACTGAAAATAGTATTTTTGATAATTTTTAGTTAGAAAAACTTTTTAAGTTCAACTTTTTAAACTTTTTTCACTTCAGCAATAATTTTTCAAGTCTCGTCTTTGAAAAAATATCAAACTACGGTCAATATTTAAAGCATTGAAGATTTACACAGCGTAAATATAATTTTGTACCATACAATCCACTAAAAATACTAAATATTAAATAAAAAACACAATCAAACTAAAACAGTACATTCCTTTAACTGAAATATAAAAATATAATAAAAAATCTGTAATTTTTGACCAGCACGTGAAGAGCACCAGAGGGTTTAGACTGCTCTTACGTTACGAGTATACTCGACATTTAATTGTGTGCGTTACTTTCCGTTCAAGTGCGAAAGCGAAATCGATTCTGTTTCACATAAACACGCAACAAAGGGGGTCAGTCCATAATGAGAAGCGGTAAGCTAACACACAAAGACGCACCAACTCTTGAAGCTCCGCCCTTTGTGCCGGGAGCAGCAGCTCATTTGCATTTAAAGGGACAGACACAAACAACGCGTTTTTGCTCACCCTTAAAAAGGGACAATTTTAACATGATATAAAATGATATGTGGGGTATTTTGAGCTAAAACTTCACATACACACACTGGGGACATCAAACACTTATTTTACATCTTGTTTTACACCACCCCTTTAAATATATTTAACGTGTTAAACTGTAAAAAAATGCATCGCAACGTTGACAGCCCTAGTTGTAACACAAGCATGTACTGACCGAGGGATCCTTTGGGACAGGGTCTCTCCACGGTCTCCCCTCGGTGGGTCGGGGGCCACTGGACCCCGCGCGTCACGCGACTCTCACACACGGGTGTGCGCGGCCCCAGCGGGCGGCGGGGGGGCCTGACGGTCACCGGGACCGTGGCTGTGATGGGACGCCCTGCCGGAGCCCTGTTGATGGCTCCCACCGGGTGAAAGGTCACGGTCGGGGTGGAGGTGGAGGTGAAGCTCAGAGACACCGTGGTGGAGAGCGAGTTCGGCGGAGTGGTGGAGAGAAGAGGGGTCGAGAGAGGATCTGAGAGAGGAGTAAAACACCAGTGCAGTGAGGTTACACACAGCAAACAAATGGAGTCATTAATGTCACACTGCAACTCTGTATATCGCATTATGTTTTGCAGTATATTTCCACATTTTTTTGTGCATGGTTTGAGATTGCGAGGTTACCTGTGGTGGGCTGCGGCGGGTTGAACTCCAGCGGGTAGCGAAGGACGATGTAGTTGTTCCAGACGTACAGCTGGTTGTCTCTGGGGTTGTAGCTGATGGACGAGATGTGCTGGTACGGGTTTGGGAACGGGATTCTCACCGGCTCCTCGCGGTTTCGCCGCGTGTCGTAGGCGTACAGGATCAGGTCTCCGCCCACCTCGCTGTCATCGTCCTGGTACACGGATCGAACCGCGTACAAGATGCCACACGCCACAAACGCGTCGGACGCCATGCGCTTCTCGAAGCTTGTCTGCCACGTCCCCTCGAAACGCAGCGTGTACGGGTTCACCTGAGACACGAGCCAATCGGATTATGGAAAGAATTAGAATGTACATTTCCTGAAGAAAATGTGAGTGGTGCTTGCACTGGCAAAACTCGGCACTCGGTTGCTAGGGCGTTCTGAGTGGTTGCTAGTGTGATGCTAGGCGGTTTTTTCAGGTGGTTAATATGGAGTTTTTATAGACTTCTTAACACTTAGTTAGTTCTAAAAAGTCCTGTTTGCTAGCATGAGTCAAAAGAGCCAACCCCCATCTCTGTACGATGTTCTGATGCAGAGATAGTTCTTGCTAAATGGTTGCTAGGGTACTCTGTTTGGTTGCTAGGGAGTGGCTTGGCAGCTGCCAATGATGTTACTTCAAAGGCTTCTTGACAGTATGAATGATATAACCAATCCCAATGCCTCTATAACATTCAGATTTGAAGATATCCCACTTTGGGTTTGGGTTGCTTGGGTGCTCTATATGGTTGCTAGGGTGTGGTTAGACAGTTAGCAGGGTTTAACCAATAGACCGGATGTCTGCCTAAAGCAAAACAGCCAAACTTGCGTATCTCTATGATGCTCTGATGTTCTCATCTATTTTTCAACGGAAGTCTATGGGATGGTTGCTAGGGTGCTGTAACTGGTTGCTGGGGTGAGGTTAAGAAGATTTTAGGTTATTACTTATTGGCTGCTTGATAAGATGAGTCAAATGAGTGAGAGAGAGAGAGAGAGAAAGGGTACTCAGGCCCTGAGTGTGTGAAAACGGCAGTTTAGAAAATTCTGCAATATTAGTTCTATGGGACTTTTTCGTCCGCTGTGCAAATACCGTACATCCGATCACTTAAAAACGTCACAGCACACCTCTCCTCAATAATCTGCACGATTTGACGCCTCATTCATAGGTCTATGCAAACGGTGCAGGAGGAGTAGTGTGCCAAACTTGACGAGTAACAATAGTGATGCCTTTGGCAAGCACCACTAATAACCAATCAGAACAGTGCAGAGAAGACGTAAACAGGAAGTTCACCTGGCTAACAACCAGGCGTCCGCTGTTGGCTTCAGTGGCGTATATGACCCAGAGCCCGTGTTCATCCACGGCGAGGTCGATGTCGGACTTCCCGCCCCAGCGGTACGGCGACGTGTCGTGATAGTTGGCGTTTGCGATAATGGCTTCGCCACTCTTGATGCGAGTTCGCAGGTCGTATTTCACAATGTTGCGTGTGCGTTCTTTATTGTAGAACACAGCTCCGTCATACACGACGAAACCGGTGCCGTCCACTCGACTCGGCAACCTGTCGATTTCACAGAAACATTACAGTATTCAATTGAACTCACATTTACTCGTAATGCGCTTTTCACAACACACATAATTTCAAAGCAGCTTTACGGAAAATGCACGAGTCCACGTTACAGTTCATTACAGAGATCTGTTATCAGAGGAGACTGTGTCTAAGTTATGCATTTCAGAAATATACATATACAAAATCACAGTTAGCTAAAAATCTATTGATTTAAACAATGTAATAATTAAGGACGGAAACAATGAGCTCATTGAAATAATGAAGACTTGTTTGTTAACAACGGATCATGACATTTAGAAAAATGTACCACTGGTGCATGTTAATGCAGTAGCATTCATTATGTGGTCGCATTCACAAAGCCTTCAAAACCAAATTTAATTGCGTAAACCAAGCGGCAACCTCCCGGCCTCTCTCGAATCAACACTGAGTACCTTAAAATGCAGTTCCTTCACTGGACACTAGAGACGCTGCAGAAGAGACTCTCTCCCATAGACACACATGTTAAAATGCCCAACTGTACAGCAGAAAAACACACGTTTACAGTCCAGTGCTAAAAGTGGTTTTGGTCTATATCGCTAATGTTGTCCTTCGTGACGGGGTGACTTATTTTTGAACCGTCTATGGCGTACACTCACTTATAGGTGGTGGTGACCCTGTTTTGGATGTAGTCGTCCCAGGAAGCATATTCATACAGCATATCTGTGCGATAGGGCGTCCAGGGCATCACGTACAGCCTATCGCCCGCTTGCAGAGGGTCTTTACACCACGCCCCCGACTGATGCTCCGCCTCCCGCACAGAACTTGGCTCCAACACTCGCATTAATGTCCCAGGACACACAAAAACTAGAGATGGAGAGAGACAGAGCGATAACAGAGATGAGCAGGAGTAGGGGATGAAGTGTATTAGACTATCAGATCTTATAAACAGATCTATTCTATACACACACACACACACACACACACAAACACACATCTTACACTACCTATTGCTGTATCATGAGTGCCTGTGTGTGTGAGAAAGAGAGATTTAATTCTTAAAAGATGGAAATACAATTTCATTACAAGAGTGTGACAGCATAGATAGATAGATAGATAGATAGATAGATAGATAGATAGATAGATAGATAGATAGATAGATAGATAGATAGATAGATAGATAGATAGATAGATAGATAGATAGATAGATAGATAGATAGATAGAATGATTGACGGAACGATAGATAGATAGATAGATAGATAGATAGATAGATAGATAGATAGATAGATAGATAGATAGATAGATAGATAGATAGATAGATAGATAGATAGATAGATAGATAGATAGATATAAAAACAGACAGACAGATAGATAGATAGATAGATAGATAGATAGATAGATAGATAGATAGATAGATAGATAGATAGATAGATAGATAGATAGATTTGTTTCTTTGTTTGTTTGCTGTCATAAACTGGTTTGCTACATTCCACTTTTGGTTAGAGTATTTGAGGTAGAGTCATGAGAGAGGGGGCGGGGCTACGGGAACCTTGGAGCCAATGAGATGCGGGTTAGTTCACACAGAGGACAGGGATTGGCTGGGACAGCTGTCACTCACGTCACATCCACTCACTCAGGTCAAGCACTTCAGGAACACGGCATGTGCACACAGTTACTAAAAGAGAAGGAGTTGTTTTCTTTTTAAATGCTAAATAAACGACAACAGGTCCTGAGGGAAGCAAAGGGATGAACAGAGACACACGTGTTGTTTGGATCTGAGGATAAATGAGCTTCAAACAGCAAGCAAATCAAAGGGGAGAGCAGAAAACAAGTGAGTGCGTGTGTGTGTGAGAGAGAGAGAGAGAGAGAGAGAGAGAGAGAGAGAGAGAGAGAGAAAGAGAAAGAAAAGAGAGAGGAAGTTCATCCTTGTGTTTGTAAGGTGTGTGAACAAGAGAAGGAGGAAAATGAAGGAGCTGCATCAAACTAGAGCACATCACAAGGGCCAGGGAGAAAAGAGAGAGAGAGAGAGAAAGAGCGAGAGGGGGAGAGAGACAGAAAGAGAGAGAGGAAGACAAGATGAGGAGATGAAGAGAGACAGGAGAGAGAAACTGCGGCGTTAACATGGTCTTTACCTTTTTGGTCCACTTCTATTCAAGCGTTGAAATAGAGAGGGGGAGAGAGGTATAAATGAAGAAAAGAGAGAGACAGAAAGAGAGAGACAGGCAGAAGGTGTGCAGAAGAGAGAAAAAAGAGACATTTCAGTTCAACAGCAGAGTCTTCCGTTTCTTTTCAAGCTTAAAGGTCAAGTGAAATTCATTAGACATGAGGAGAAACATGAGGGAGAAAGACAAGAGAGAGGGGGACAAAACTATTGCAACGGAAAGAGAGAGAGAGGGGGGGGGGTTGGAGAGAGAGAGACAGAGAGAGAGAGGGGACAAAACTATTGCAACGGAAAGAGAGAGAGAGGGGGGGGGGTTGGAGAGAGAGAGACAGAGAGAGAGAAGGGACAAAACTATTGCAACAGAAAGAGAGGGGGGAGGGGGGGGGGGGGTGGAGAGAGAGAGAGACACAGAGAGAGAGAGAGAGTGATGGTATGGTAGGGTAAGGGACAGGAACTATAGCTATGCCTCAATTAAACATCACCAATCATTGATGTGGTGCTCATTTTAATAATCTGAAGAATTATGAATATTCATTAAGTGTTCTTCTGTCTTCCCTCAATCACTCTGTCCACTCTCCATCCCTCCATCTCCCACCCAAAGAAACTAACAAAAAACAAACCAAGTAGAAGCGACCGAGAGACCGATTCAACACACCTGCTGCTGAAAATATAAGATTATTAGAGACATCCACAGACGGACCTATTCACACCAGAGCCGGAATCGTCCCGGCGAACAGGGAACACAAGGCTCTCTCTCGAGGTAAACGTTCTTTTAGCAACATTAACAGAATGAAGTTCTCAAAACATTAGCACACAAATATTATTTATTTATTCACACATCGTTCATGGAATGTTTATTTCTGAAACGTTTTAGTCGGGCGGTCAGTTACGACTTGTTTCATAACGCTCTGAGAACGGTTTATTAACGTATTGGGAACGCAAGAAAATCGCTCTTAGAGCATATTTTTGTTAGCTGGGTAGACACTAATAAACTACATTTATATAATTTGTTTCAGGAATGTGATCAACGAGTTATTATAAACCAGACAGATATTTTTGTATAATGAATATTATAGACAAGACCGGAAGGCATTTGAGGGGTAGAGCAGGGCGGAGAGAGAAGGAAAGACCAAATGGAAGGAAATCAAAATAAACGCGCTGTGCGTTCAGGTGCATCCCGTAAAACTTCAAATAATAGCCGAGTCCCAAATAGACGCCTGTCTCTTTTACACGCCTGCTGTGGCTGCAGGGTTGGGTAAATAACAGGTCCGTTATTTAGTTGGTCAGATAGTCCGCAAAGCAAATTTTTATCCCGCCAAAGCCTTTTTTAATCGGTGAGTGATGTAGAATAGCGGCTGCGTACGCGCACTCTCACGTCTTCAAACAACACGCGCGCTGTCTTGCTCATATTAATCAAAATCAATTGACACGATAGTAAACGGTTGGAAGACCGCAGTTTCAGGTGGTGCATTCAGACATTTTTAGAGATGAACAACATCTCAATACTAAATTATAAAGGCCTGTCTCATATAGACGCCTGTCTCAAATACAAGCCGGTGCAGTTCGAGGATTTGGGAAAATAAAAGCCCGGGCTACTATTCGAAGTTTTACGGTAGTTGTTCTCCACTCTTCTGAGCTATGCCCATTATTGTGCGATAGTACTCTTACGTAGCTTCCTCGACAGGTGTAGGGCGTACTATATTGGTCCTATGAGCTCAGCCATTGGCTCTCTGTGAGCCTCCTTGGAGTCTGCGAGCGATGTTAGGCCTCCTCCCGCTAGGGAGAGTTATCTTTATTGAGGCCTCTGCTCCCAGAGCTCGGCTAGGATCACGACTGAGAGTTGCAGGGTCTCTTGAGCCTCCTTGCAAGATGTCCTGTGCGCGGGGCGTTGTAAGGTCTCGTCTTGATTTAGACAGTTGTCGCACTGAGGCCTCCACTCCTAGAGCGTGGCTAATGTTTGCTAAGCTGTTATGTTCTCTGTGAGCCTCCTTGGCTACTGCGGGCGATGTCCTCCCGCTAGAGAGAGTAATCTTTATTGAGGCCTCGAGCTTGTCTAGGCAGAAGGGTAGTACACTAGGTTGTTAGGCCCTCGAGGTGCCTCCTCGGGTACTGTCTTTAGTGTGGAGTGTTGCTAGGCCTCTCATCATGAGAGATGTTGTTTATCCAGTCTGAGGAGTTTGTGGGCCAGTTAGACTGAGTTCTTTAGCTCGGTTCTTAGCCCTTTCTGAGCTTGCTCGGTATTGCTTGGGCTAGGGCGGGGGTGCCCAATCCTGCTCCTGCCGATCGACTGTTCTGCACAGTTCATCTACAACCCTAATCAAACACATCTGCCTTTAATATTCAATGGATCCTGAAGACCTTAATTGGTTGCTTCATGTGTGTTTGATTAGGGTTGGAGATAAACTGATCGGCAGGAGCAGGGTTGGGCACCCCTGGGCTAGGGCATTGCTAGGCCTCTTGTTCGAGGGCTCCTTGAACGCTGGCCTGAATATGAATGTTTTTAGGCTTCCTCTCTATAGAGTCATCGTGTTGAGGCGTCCGTTCTTGAGAAGCTCCGGTCTATGAGTGCTGGTGCACCTTAGAGACGAGGATTCCTTTGACTTAGCTCCGCCAATATGGCATATCAGATTCATACCATCGCATTTCAGAATAGCTCCAATAATATCCGTTAAAATCTCATTTACAACCAGGCTTTTTATATCGAGTAGGTGCTCACCACCTAACATGTTTTACTCTGAATTTGTGTTTATTTGTACGTATACTATTATTGTATTTTGTTTTCTATGTATCATTAGTATTATGTTTAAGTTCTTTGTACAACACTTTGGGCATCTGTTGGTGTATTAAATTGTGCTTTATAAATAAATAAAGAAGGGCACTCATCTCTTCAGTATTGAGTTCCACATAGCGCCCCCTAGAGGACGCAGCACGAGTTCCCCCTTTATTATTTATATGGATTTTTTAGGCTGTTTACTCGGAAACGATTCTGAAGGGAAAACACAAAAGTGGTGTTGCGTCTTCACTTTTTATTCTGCGTTTAGACGAGCGTTTTGTGTGGGAAATCCGCGTGCAAATGGTGACTCAAAAGTGTGTGAAATTCAATGTAGTATGTACTTCAGGCGGCTAGGAGTGCATACTACAACAACACCAAGTCAATGCGTCTGCGTACAACCTTCACTGTCAAGCAGACTTTTGCGTTTCTACCGTTTACACGGGAACGCGGCGTTGGAACGTTTTTAAGATTTCCACTCTTGAGGGTGGTTTCACTTTTTTTGCGTTTTTAAGCCTCAAAAACGCCGTCGCCGTGTAAACGAAAGGCACATCCGATAAAATATTTTTACGTTTTCACCCGCGAGCGTTCTCGTGTAAACAGGGCCTTAGTATGTAGGAGTTTTAAATTTTAGTGATTTCATTTAAATTTTAGTTTAATTTTATTGAGCATTTTGTTGTTTTATTAGTTTTTGTTTTGTTTTTAAAAAAAAAAAATATATATATATATATATAGTTTTGATAATTTTCTCAGTTTTAGTGTAGTTATTTTCAGTTTTAAATAAGCCAAGACATAAAACATATTCAATCTAATATATTGAAATAATTATTGAAAGTTATAATTGAAAGTTTTTAAGAATATACAGTATATTTTATAATATTTCAGTAAACATGCACACATTTCAATAAACATATCGTTTTTATATAGTTTTAGTTTTAGTTTTAGTTAATGATAATAACGCTGATTGTGCAAAACAACTCAAAGCATGTGAAAGACCGCAGCGTAATTCACTTTCAATCAGTTATGATGAATTTCCATGAGAATTTCCTGAGAGTAAATCATATGATGATGTTAGCGTTGGCTGTCGGTGTGAATAGGCCTTTACATGCAAACCAACACAAACACACAGTTTCTTCCAGAGGTTCAGCAAAGTTGCACAAACAGCAGGGCTCCTTTAGACGGACGAAACACACACACACACAAACACACAATCTCTCTCTCTCACACACACACACATACATACACAAACACACTCTCTCTCTCACACACACACAATCCTGTATATAATCCTGTACAAAAGGAGAAATGAAAGCATGAGTGTGCATCGCTCAGCAAACCCGATGAACAAGTGGAACCTAAAAAATTACACATCAAAAATTTCATCACAGTTTTGAGCTGTCTCGGGCCACATGACACACTGCAAAAAGAAGAAGGGAATCAATGAATGAGCGAGTGAATGAGTGCGTCCGTCAGCTCCGCTCTGCAAGAACAAACAGAGCGTGTGTTTCCAGCGCCGCCCTGCAGGAGGAGACAGAAAACACACCCTGATCCCCACAGCACTACACCCAGCGGAGGAGTGGAGAGAGGGAGCGACTGAGGAGGAAGAGCGCAAACACAGGCAGGGAAGAGAGGGATGAGGACAGCAGAGGAGAGGAGAGATGATGAGAAGCCTGGTTTATACTGCAGGAGTTCATATAGAAGCAAGTTTCCATTGTGATACATTGCAAAGACTGAACGTATCTGAACTGAGGCGTGTTTACACTGAAGGTGTTTATGTGCTTTTATATACAAGAACTGAACTGAGATCAGTGTCTGAGTTCAGTGTGAATGACCTGCTGATTCACATGAACTAGTGATATTATACTGTTATACTTGACTAAAGGTTCTTCATTGTCGGTTTACCTGAGATTTTCTCTTACAGTGATTAGATAGATAGATAGATAGATAGATAGATAGATAGATAGACAGACAGACAGACAGACAGACAGACAGACAGACAGACAGACAGACAGACAGACAGACAGACAGATAGATAGATAGAATGATAGAATGATAGAACGATAGAACGATAGATAGATAGATAGATAGATAGATAGATAGATAGATAGATAGATAGATAGATAGATAGATAGATAGATAGATAGATAGATAGATAGATAGATAGATAGATAGATAGATAGATAGAATGATAGAACGATAGATAGATAAATAGACAGATAGACAGATAGATAGATAGACAGATAGATAGATAGATAGATAGATAGATAGATAGATAGATAGATAGATAGATAGATAGATAGATAGATAGATAGATAGATAGATAGATAGATAGATAGATAGATAGATAGATAGATAGATAGATAGATAGATAGAATGATAGAACAATAGATAGATAGATGGATAGATAGATAGATAGATAGATAGATAGATAGATAGATAGATAGATAGATAGATAGATAGATAGATAGATAGATAGAACGATAGATAGA